TATATTTTAAACTGAACAAAATGCATTGTGTGTCCCTAGAACACACAAAAAAAAAAAAAAAAAAAAAAAACTAAGGAATCATCTAGACAAATTTATAAATGTTCATTATCCAATAGTGACAATGACCTTAACATAACCTGTTGTTGTTGTTGTTGTTGTTATTATTATTATTATTGTTATTGTTATTATTATTATTATTATTATATTTTAATTTATTTTTTCAAAACGTAAAGGTTTTAATGCAATATACCTAATTCTAAACCCTAAATTGAATTTCATGTTGTTAAGATTTCAGATGTGAATAATTTCACAACTTTGAAAAAATAGCAAAAGGTTTTCCAGACATTACAATTTTACATAATATTATAATACAAATTATTATTATTATTATTATTATTATTATTATTATTATTATTATTATTTATTTATTATTTTTTTTTGCAAAAATAACTATTTGATCCGGTCTCTGGAAATATTTTTGGACTCCATATATGTTGGGTCGGCCCATCAAGTATCCTCCAGAATGCTCATTCCGGAGTAACAATATGTATTCCAGACTTCCATTTGGAAATTCATTTTCTGGAAATTATTCAGAAAAAAGTATGGATCTCGATTTCATTCGGGAGTTCGATTTACAAATGTATCTTGACTTTATGATTCCGATCTCGTGTATGCTCTCCAACATTCCAACACACTCCAACTTTCCAATTCCAATCTTCGACATGCATTCCTAACTCTGACTTAAGATATGTAAGACAACCACAATGACCTGGTTATTGTATGGGTAAATCATTTACTCTTATACTGTTATTATTTTAGTGTTTAGATTTTTTGTTTATAGAACTTCCTCTAGAATGCAAAGAGCACCTCCGAAATGAACGAAACATGTTCTGGAGTAGCATTAGACGATGACAGTGCATTAGGACCAACCCAAGACTAGTTTATTTGTTTATATAATGTTATTATACATCGAAAACTAGTGTTCCAAACAAAAAATTCATTATGGAATTCGAAGAACACATCTGGAATGAACTGACCATGTTCTAGAGTAGCAATTTATGATGACAGTGATTAGGACCAACCCAACACTACTTTAGTTGTTTATATAATGTTATGATACATCAACAACTAGTGTTCCAAAAAAATGCATTCCGTAATGCCCCAGAATGCAAGGACCCGAAATGCGAGGAACTGGTCCAGAACACGAAAAACATCTTTTGAATGTCAAGAACATGATCCAGAATGGTCATTACTGTTTGTTCCGGAGTTACGAGACTATTACACTGACAAACCAAAGTTTTCTATTATAACAAGTTTTCTATTTGCAGTACAACAGAGTTTTGATGCATCCACTACACTGTCTTGTAAAACCAAACTCAGTGTGGATATTCTTGCGTCAATCAAAGTCAAAGACAGACCGTCATGCGGCACTATGTTCCAAAATTCATGTTTTGGGAGGTGGCTAGATATTCCTAAGGTATATAGGGATCCTTTACTTCTACATTAAGTGTTTTGCCATGAAGTTATCACGGACCCCCGAAGCGAAGTAGAGATAATGGTTCTGGAGATTAGGGGTTATGAGCTACCTTTCGGGAAGAAAGAATTTTGTATTGTCATTAGTTTCCTATTTGGAGACTAATTTTGCTACCTTTGTTTTTGGCGCCGCCTTCAATTCCCACGTGTTTCCTATGGTCGCGATGAATGTCGTCGTGAAATTAGACGATGTGATGGATATGTTTAAACATTTTCTTAATGACTTATTGGATGAGGATGTGGTCTTTGTATGTCTTTTATATCTCTTAGTGAAGAGTTTCAATGGGCGGTTGGCTATACAAACTGTTTTAGTGGAGTATTTCTCTTTGGCATATGAGATTGATGAATCCAACATGTATCATGTCGTTAATTTATATTTACGGATTATAATTATCATTACTTATATTTTTTTACAAAATTAATTAGGAATTTTTTATGTCGTGGATATCCATGAGGGAGGATAATTTGGGATCAATTGTATTCACAACTATTTACTGTATTCAATAAGGTTGAAAAACTTATACACCCAGTCGAACCAAAAGCTAACCAACCTCAAAAAATGACATACACCTTAAACGATTTTTTACATGATTTTAAAGTAAGGTACATGATTATTTTTGTGTGTGATAATATTCTAATATATGATTCTTTCAAATATGGATTCGTGAGAGTTTTCCTATGAGCACTTTGCTTGGTACCCAACAACAAAATATGATCTCTTGGGGTGTTGCATGGTCGAATTAGGGCATTTACATATGCTTGAGTGCAACTAGTTTATAACCATCAATGGATTATGATTACTTGCATATTTTATAATTTTCTTTTGTATGTATAATTTATGTTTATTTATAATTTTATAATTTTGTTAGCATGATAATAAAGTTATACATAAGTTGGAGTCGACAGAAGCTAAAAGTCGTGTTGAATGGTGGATAATTACTTCGACGTGGATTGATCGCCCCAATCACCTAGCCTAGAATTTCACATGACACCTTGCCTAACACAATCACACAAACACTCCCCTACTGTAACGCCCGTAGATCCGGGCTAGTCGACGATAGGCATCAAAAATGACTTTTTGATGGAAGATTATCTAGAAGGATTAATCTTAACCAAGTCGTAGTGCTGTCCGATCATCTTCTGATCAAGTAAGTGTGTGGTTACTTTCTTCTAACACATAAATACGAAGTATTTTATACGAAATACGTGTTATGTGTATATTTTGTTGTTATATGTGTGAATGTGTATTCACTTTCTTCTACCGCATAAATATGAAGTATTTGCTATGAAGTACGTGCTAGATGTTTATACATTGTTTGTTTACTTGAGATAGATGTTGAAATAATGTTTTATACATGTTTTAAAAGATTTAAACTGTACATGTGTTTGCATCTACAAATAGGTTGGGTAGAACATAGGTAGATGAAATAGTTGATGTGAGACGAAATAATAAGTATTTTTGAACTCTATGTGTTCACTTAGTGTTTGAACTCTATGTATTCATTAGGTATTTTTGAACTCTATGTGTTCACTTAGTGTTTGAGCTCAATGTGTTCATTAGGTTTTTTAGAACTCTATGTGTTCACTTGGTATTTTTGGACTCAATGTGTTCATTAGATCATTTAGAACTCTATGTGTTCACTTAGTGTTTGAACTCAATGTGTTCATTAAGTATTTTTGAACTAGATGTGTTCACTTGGTGTTGTTGAACTGAGTGTGCTCACTAAGTGTTTTAGAACTAAGTATTCACAAGATGTTTTGAATTAATTGTTCACTAGGAGTATTAGAACTAGGTGTTTGGTAAGTATGGTGAACTAAGTGTTTAGCAGTCGTAATTTGTGGACCTTGGCAGTGGTGGACTTTGTGTCAATTCCTTAGGTCAATCTTTAGGAATAAATAGATAATGGATAGTTGATTCTTAGGGTAAATCCTTAAGAAATAAAGGAGATAATGGGAATGAGTATTTGGTTTGATTGTTTGATAATTGAATATAATAAATGTATTATTGTGGGTTGAAAACCCTATATGCTCACCAGGCTCCCAAGCCCGACCTACTCAATTTAATTGTATCATAGGTATCGATACGAAGCTGCTTTGCACTGAGAGATTAAAGGAGATGTAAATCACTAGAGTAAATGAATGTATGTTTTGTTTATGTTTATGTGTCTGTATTGGAACATGACATCCCGAGGTTTTATTATTTAATGAAAATACATTCTCTTTGAGAAATTTTTTGATAAGTTTTTATCATATCTTGTTTTGGGAACAAATTTCGCAACCGTTTTCTTTAAACGAATACTCTGATTTATAAAACAAAGCATAAACAAATCGGTCTTTTCTGGCCGTGAAATCGGGGATGTCACACCTACCCATGAGCCTCGACAAAAGAAGGCACATATAAATGTTCCATCTCACCTGCCACCACCACCACCGGCTGCTGAATCATCAACTGATAAGGACCGAATTATTACTGACCTGAAAAACGAGGTTCATGAATGTACATTGTTATTATTTCACTCCAATATAATTTTTATTTAACTTTATGGTATACCCGTTATTGAATCATTTATTATTAAATACTATTGAACCGTACATGCACTTATTGTGCAAGATGTTGGTACACAGACTATAATGACTTATGGGAGCATGATTATGGGTTAGGCACACCTGAACAACTGATCAATCATAGCCCTGAGTAGGTGTCTGCATGTATTCAATCGTAGGATTGAAAAGAGATTTCGTGGGACGAATATAAAACATCTGTAGCACCTCTTAGGCGTTCCCTACGACAAAAAGTTATGTCAATATGATATAAGGCCCCATGGATACAAATGAAGAGAAAATGTGTTACATGACAACAACCATCACCGTTGGACAATCTTTTATAACCTATCATACACAATCGTACACAATCTATATAAAGAGCGGGGTGATTCGCTATTGTAGCTCACCGTTTTTAAACAATATTACGACGATTGAGTTTTGGACTCGCTTATATGTGGATACTCACGCATGTTGGTTCCAATGTGATGTAACTTATATAATTATGTGCTCATTATGTACTACGTTGCTAATAACAATATTTACTTTACTGCAATTTTTTTTTTTTGATTGACAACACATCATGTTGTAGATCTCATTGTTGATAGAGCATAAACAAGTTGATGGTCGGTGGACGGTCGTGCAGTCAGCTATCAACACCGATGCATTTGACTGGAGTAACATGGTTGGTGGATCATTCATCTAGCTTGGGTAGACTGTGATAAATTATAATTACCTTAGGATTTCATTACCTAAGTAATAGTAATTTATAATACAATATTATTTGATGATTAATTAATTCTAACATTTTGTGTTACATCCCAACAATATACCAACTCTTCACTAGTTTTTGGTTGTTTTGGATTTGAAGACATTCAAAACGACTATATACGATAGTCACTAGAAAAGAGACCATTGTTTAGAAGATGGGGATTGATTTATGGGTATGCAAACTTGCATCAACAAATTGCTAGTGAGTATTAAGTACTGGGGTACCGAACCAACTGATGCAATCTCAATCGAGAGTTTGAAGATGACCTTTGAAAAGACACCAAACATACCACAACAGATTAACAGCAGAAAGATTGTAGGGTGTTTTTGTATTAGTTCGTAGAGATGTTGATCGCCGTGAAATCATATTTTGTAGAGGGTAAAAGCAGTTTATGGACCATGCCATATCGTAAACGGTTGGTGAAATTTTTTCAAGATACGAGGACAAAGTTCATTTGAACATTGTATTATTATTTAAAACAAATTAAGTTTATAAATTTATTATTATTATTTTTGTAGATTTAAGATTTCATGCACTAGATTTCATAAAAAAAAAAATAATAATACAAAATCACCAAACAGATATTATGCATATAAGAAAATGATTATTTCCGAACTGATTATCCGGAATCCTACTACGCTATTAGGAAAAAATGTTTCTTTTAAAAAAAAAATTAGATTATTTATGTTCAAAAACTTTTATATGGATTAGATTACTCTATTTCCATATAATTTTTGGTTATTAATTCAATTGGCATAACTATTTTGATTCCAAATAATTGATTTACACAAACACAAGAGCTGGGTTATTAGCAAGTGTCAAGTTCCCAAGCACAAATTGTCAGCAACAGTATTACATCACCCCGTTGCAATCTCTCTCTCTCTCTCTCTCTCAACAAAAACCTCATTTTCTCTCTCTACAACCAGCATCTTCAGACTTCAGTCTCTGTTACTAACAAACACTAGACCTATTTTTGACCTTGTGTCTCGAAATCCTTCGCTTCACCCCACATTAAGAGGTTCAAGTGCGTGCCACCTCTCCTGATACAAAACCCTCGTGAACTGGATGTAAAAGATCTGAGATTTAATGATGGAAACGGGTCACTTGCAACTTTGCCTCTAATTCAGGTGAATTTAGTCGTACGTATCCTGTGAAATTTTCCGTTTTCTCAAATTTTAAATGATCATAAAGCAGAAACGAATTCAATTTCTTCACAGATTTACAAACTGGAAGTTTCTTGATTCCTGTGAACTCGGTGGGTGTTGTGAGCTTTTAAGATTGCATTTCTAACTGTTTCTCCAAATGGGGTTTTGTTAATTTCAATGCATAATCTGGAGTTAGCATACAGGTCCTTTCTTTTAGGTTTCTTCAATGGGTCTGTACTAATTTAACTCCAGAATCGACTTTTTAAATGTTTGTGAATCAGTTTACTCGATTTGAGTTTGGTCGTATTAGAATGATTCATTTCGAAGGGTTTATACTTGAGGGTTTTCGGGTAGGCATCAGAATGCTAATAAGTTCAACGATTCTGTTATAACGGATTAGATTTGGGGGCATTAATGTGAGGTTTCATGAATTTGATGTAGTGTGATTTTGTTTCCAATTGAGAAAAAAAATGCCAAAATTTCTGATTTCTTGCCTTATTGTCCCTTCCGCAGAATCGGATCATGACCCGAGTTGTTCGTGACCGGATACTTAAGGACGCTAATGGCGATATCTCCGATCATCTCCGCAACCATATCCATTTAACAAATTGTATTCATTTGAAAAACCATATGCACAAAAACAGCCCTATAATCAGCGACAGGTCCCTAATTAGGGACCTCGTCGTTCTTCAAAGGTCACGATCTTTAAAGGATCCCTCCATGAGTCCACCCGCTTTTCAGTCTCCTTCCGCCGTTGATGCTGGTGGTGGTGGTGGAGGAGGAGGACGCCGGTCTACTGGTTTTTCCGGCAACTTTTCTGGCAACTCCTCCTCAAATAGAAGAAACAAGAAACAAGAATCAAGCGGGGATTCTCCACTTGATGCTGCAAATTTAGCTCGTGATATTTATCCAGGAAGCTCTGATAACATAAGCAAACAAAAAGGGCGTAAAATCAAACAAGATGATCCTTCAAATGATGTCCCCATTCGATAGTGACAACAATGTTGGTTCATCACACAACCACCGTTTACATGAATCAAGCATCCACAGCCATGGTCAAAATCGGGTCAAACGACGAAGGTTTCGTGGTGGAAGAAGAGTTTCCCGAGCACCCAAAAGTACCGAAATGCCCATGCCCATGCCCATGTCCACCTCCATGTCCATGGCTTCTAATTTCATACCTCACGGTGGTGACCAAAACCTGACCGGAAATCTGCCCGGAAATATGCCCGGAGTTCCAAAACAAGGTTGTGGAATCCCCTGGAATTGGTCCCGGATTCACGATCGAGGAAAATCTTTCCTCGACATCGCCGGGAAGAAGCCTCTCATGCGGTTTATCAGACTCAAGGTCAAAACGCACCGGTCAACACAACTCCGGCCAAATTCCGGCGATCTCCGATCGCTCCACCTCCTCCACAAACGGCGAATCACTCCCATTACTAATCGACGGGTCACAAGAAAGCCCGGAAAACCCCGCCGCCTGGGTGCACGATTATTCCGGCGAGTTAGGGCTCTACGCCGACCACCTTTTAAACACCGATCTCGACTCCGATCTCGCCTCCGAAGCCCGCTCCGGTGGCCGGAAACGCAACTCCGGCCACCAGAATCTCACTCAAAAGTACATGCCAAGAACATTCCGGGACCTCGTGGGACAAAATCTCGCAGTCCAAGCTTTATCAAACGCGATCGCGAGAAAAAAAGTCGGGTTGCTTTACGTGTTCTACGGGCCCCACGGCACCGGGAAAACATCGTGTGCGCGTATATTTGCTCGCGCTTTGACTTGTCAATCTTTTGATCACCCAAAACCGTGCGGTTTTTGCAGTTCTTGTGTGGGACATGATACGGGTAAGGGTAAGAATAAGAACCGGAGTGTGATTGAAGTGGGACCCATGAATAATCTTGGGTATAAAAGTATGATGGAGTTGATTGAAAACACGATTGGTTCGAATTTGCGATCGCATTATCGGGTGTTTATAATTGATGATTGTGATTCTTTGATTCCGGATTTTTGGAGTGCGATATCTAAGGTTATTGATCGAGCTCCCAGGCGTGTGGTTTTTGTACTGGTTAATTCGAGTCTTGATGTTTTGCCACATATGATCGTTTCCAGGTGTCAAAAGTTTTTTTTTCCAAAATTGAAGGATGCGGATATTATTTATACGTTACAATGGATTGCTACTAAAGAAGAGTTTGAAATTGATAAAGATGCTTTGAAGCTTATTGCCTCGAGGTCCGATGGGTCTTTGAGGGATGCTGAAATGACACTTGAGCAGCTTAGTTTGCTTGGCCAAAGAATTTCGGTTCCTCTTGTTCAAGAATTGGTATATTATTTTTTGGTCTATTTTTGAGGGTGATGAGGGCGTTTACGTCTTTTGTACAGACAACATATTTTACCTTTTGGGGTTAGGACAAAAAATTGCAGTTTTTGTCTTATTGACTTGATTCCCGATCCTAGTCCAATTCATTTGCGAAAGACACAAGATAAGCTTTCTAGAGCTATTTTTGTCAATGAGGACATTTTGTCTTTTGCAATGTGAGACAAAAGATTGCAGTTTTTGTTTCATTAAATTAATGAGACAAAAACTGCAATTTTTTGTCCCACATAAGAAGTTGAAATCTTTTCTTTCGCTCTAATCAAATGCGAAAGACAAGATTCCACCTTTTTGGGTGGGAGTGGACAAGATTTGTTGTTTTGCAGTTTTTGTCTCATTGGCATTATTCTTCTAGTCTTAGTACATTGCATGCCAAATGTAGTACGAGTTATATCATGATGTTTACCAATTGCTAAACAATTATATATGACACTTCACAGGTTGGACTTATATCTGATGACAAGTTAGTTGACCTATTGGATTTAGCATTGTCAGCAGACACGGTCAATACGGTCAAACATTTACGAGAAATTATGGAATCGGGTGTCGAGCCGTTAGCTTTAATGTCACAACTTGCAACCGTAATAACCGATATTCTTGCCGGAAGTTACAATTTCATGAAAGAAAGGCCAAGATGGAAGTTCTTTCGACGACAAGCTTGTAAGTCTTGTGGGCCCCAGGGTCAGGGTTAGGGGTTGCTGGAAGAATAATTTTTTTACAGATATAATAAAAGATTAAAAGCCACTCTATTTGGCCTCTTACATATCTACTACTTTTTTTGCAGTATCGAAAGAAGATATGGAAAAGCTGCGATTAGCATTGAAGACGTTATCGGAAGCAGAAAAGCAACTCAGAATGTCGAATGACAAGTTGACTTGGTTGACCGCCGCGTTGTTGCAGCTTGCACCTGATCAGCAGTACGTGTTGCCGGAATCCTCCGCGGGTACTAGCGGCCGCCACAGTCCGGTGGTGGTTAATAATGGCGGTGGAAGAGATGGATCCCGGAAAAGTAACTTTGACCATGGTGACATGATTGGAAGTCAAAGGGGAGTTTTGAAAAATGAGAGAAAAATGAGAGAAGATATATATAGGCAAGAAATTGAAGAAATTTGGTTGGAGGTTCTTGAGTATATTCATATAAATAGCATAAAAGAATTCTTGTATCGTGAAGGAAAGATGACATCACTTAGTCTTGGTGCAGGTATATATATGCTTTTATTAAGTCAGAAAGAAATATCCATTTATACTTTGCAAAATCTACCTAATTATAGAGTTCAAGATTGCTTTGTATTTGTATGACATTGTTAGATTTTTTCAAATTATACTCTAATTGGAAGTGTTTTGTTATTACTTGATTCATTTTGCAGCTCCAACAGTTCAACTTATTTTCACTTCTCACGCAACAAAATCAAAAGCAGAGAAATTCAAAACACACATTTTGAAAGCGTTTGAGCATGTTCTTGGATCACCTGTTACAATAGAAATCAGAAGTGAATCAAGAAAAGAAAACCAACTCATATTACCCACATCCCAACAGGACTCATATGCAAAACAAAGAAGTGAGATCATTGAAGTAGAGGCTTCTCCAAGAGAACAAAAATCCATGTTGCATATTGATAATGATCATAAAGTACAGGCTACACCATCTCATAAGAATTCAAGTTTTCAAACAAGATTCGGAGAACAAAATCAATCCATGAGTCTTGTAAGAGGGAAAGTGTCTCTTGCAAATGTGATTCAACAGGCGGAATCACAGAGAAATGGTTGGTCCACACGTAAAGCTGTTTCCATTGCTGAAAAGCTCGAACAAGAGAATCTGTAAGCTTCCCGTTTCCTCTCTTGGAAATTCAAAAACATTTCACTGAGGCATTTTATCGAACACTTGTTATGCATTTTAACAAACACCAATTATCAAACTGTCAAAAACTGATTTGCTTCTACATTTCCAACGTGGTACATGGGATATACAAAATATTAACTCTGTAACAACTATTTTACACATAAAAAAGCTGTAGTTTTGAAACACGGGAGATGAATCTTTCTTTAAAGTGACATGGTTTCTTCATATTCCAGGAGAATGGAGCCGAGATCAAGAAGCTTGTTGTGCTGGAAGGCATCTAGAGTTTCACGTCCGAAGGTAATGAGCCGAATTTTGTTAATGCAGTTGAAGCTACCATCCTTGGAACTTACTAAAGAAATCTTGTATATATATGCAGATTTCGCGATTGAAATTTAGAACAAGAAAACCACGGGCCTTGTTGAGATTTGTGTCTTGTGGGAGGTGTCTTTCAACTAAATCACCGAGGTAATACAAGAAATGCGTTCAAACGTGTGTCATTTTCTCAAATTTTAAGCATTAATTTATGGGTCAACTAGGGTTCAATAA